GAGAGAGAGAGAGAGAGAGAGAGAGAGAGAGAGAGAGAGAGAGAGAGGGAGAGAGAGAGAGAGAGAGAGAGAGAGAGAGAGAGAGAGAGAGAGAGAGAGGGAGAGAGAGAGAGAGAGAGAGAGACGGATGGCGGGAGAGCTGAGAGACATTAATTCAAGTGTGAAATAGAACACAAAGTCTCGTAATCAATAAGGAAATGATTCAGACCTGTAATGCCAACATTTGTTTGGTATTAACAGGGCTTTGTGACTCTCATTTACCTTCAGACGCCGCCGTGCTCATCAACTTGTCACACCAGTAATGAAAGTCACAATAATGCTGAGTGAGTGATACCAGTTAGTGCTTCCGCATTTTAGGGGATGAGATCGAGATTTCACATGTTCCAGATGACGTTCAATAAATAGCGTAAGCCTCATCATGCCAGTTTAATAGGCGCCGCATTTTAAATCTCTCTCTTCTTCAGGGTGCAGGGAGGTCAAGGAGAGTGCAAGGTCTTCCAGGGATGTGTTTTTAACATTTTGACATCTGGGTGTCAAAACCTCAATACTTTGTTTTATTTGCAACAAAAACGTGTCCGTGGCATTGAGTGTCAAAAATCTGGCATCGAATGTCTTTTTCCATTTGTTGTATTGTTCTGATTTTAGGGCTGCAACTTTATATTATTTTCATTTATTTTACTGGTTTATTTGATAAGGGACAGTGCACATTAATAAAAACATTGCTGTAAGAGTTAGCCAAGAGGCTATTTTTCATCTGCAGTCCCAAGAGGCAGATGTTACATTCATTCATTATCGATCAAGCCGTCGATTATCTTTTCGATTAATCGCCTTGTCTTTTAAAATGTAAAAGAAATAGTGACATACGCCCATAATGGTGTCTTCAAATATGTCGCCCGACCAACAGTCCAACACCAGAAGGGATTCAATTTAAAATGAATTTGAGTTTATTTGTTTCAGAAGAAAGCAGCAAATACTCACATTTGAAAAGCTGGAGGAACGTTTGTCTTGATAAATTGAATTAAATGATGACTCATTGATCCATTTAGTTGTCAATTCATGTTGTGTATTAAAGGTGTAACTGGCCAGTTGTTTCAGTCCTATCTGCTTTAAATCCTATTTTTGACTTATATAGAGACAAAGTCTCTGTTAGATGCTTAACATTCGAGACGTTTGGCCTCTTATGATAAATTCAAAGAATAGTAATTTAAAAGAATAAGAAAAAGGTTTGTTTTTGGCATTGGCACCAAAATCCTACTGCAGTGAGTCCTACACAACACTGGTTCACCTGACATACTTCTTCCAGAAACTTCTTCTCCACTCAGCGTCCAGCCTGCCTGGGCCTGGCTGTTGACCTTTTTTTAAAAAAAAAAAAAATATATATATATATATATACATACATTGGTGCTATAGGTCTCACTCTTTATTATACATTCATATGGCACACAAAATACAGGCTGTAATTTATGTAGATTATTGGCTCTGCAATAAGATGCAACCAAAAGAAAGCCTAATGTGAATGAGTGTGAAAGAGCAATTTAAGGGTAGATGTGCCAGTGCCAGTGCCAGGGGCTATACAAGATTTGCATGCTAATCATTCTAATAATAATGTAATGCCCAGAGCGCTTTGAGCAAATTGCGAACCACTGGTCATAGAAGGCGGCTTATCTCGCCGAGAACATGACACAAATATAGGTGAACATTTGAATGATTCCTGGTAATTCACGGACCTGTCAGAAGCCTGGCTCACCTCAATTAGAAATGCTCCACAACAGCTTGCTCTTGACTTTACTTCACTGCAAAGACTCTCTCAGACGGCTAGAACGCCTCACGTGTGTGCACGCGTCTATTATGAGCTGTAAATGTCACGATAACTGAACACTTTGCACCATAAAACTCCGCTAAAACTAAAAATTAAACCAGAACTGTTAACCACGGTGCTTAAAAAAACAGCCAATGAGAGCTTTAGTCTAGCCCTCGTGCTCTGCTGCCCACCATTTACAAGCACAGTTCCGATTCGATCATGTGCAGAACGTTCCGAACGTTTTCAGCCAATCGGTGCTTTCTTATCACAAACGTCACAGTGTTTACCCGGAAATGAGAGCCTGCTCCAGCAGCCGCTGTCAAAATCCATAATTGACCCATTTCTGACCGTTTTTAGTCCATCCAAACGGTACATTAACGTATAATCTGACCGTAATCTACTGACTCGGAATGTACAACGGACTCTTGCCCAAAGGCTTAACCGAAGACGACCTCAGTCCAGATGACGAGGAGGATGCTGTTGAGGAGAAGAGGGAGGGAGACAAGTGTGAGGGCTCTGCAGAAAAGTTGATCTCTGCCGGGGAAAACACAACAGCATCGGCGGTGGAGGCACAGTCGACTCACACCGCCAGTGATTCCAGCAGTATGCCTGGTATATCCCAGGAAATGTGGCAAGTATGTGGATCTGCTATGTAGTGAGCTAAGATTAGCATTCATTCTGTGAAGTACAAGCTAGCTGTAGAGTACCTGTGTTGTTGTTGTTGTTGGGCTAATTCTTTAAAGAAAACACGTTTACAATAACAATACATTTACAAATTCTGTTAAATCCTCATTCCTTCTTGAGCTATCAAAATGTAAATAAAAGTTTTTTGTCACTCTGTTGGACTATATACAGTATGTGTGTATCATAACAATATGTGCACAGCAGAGGCAGATCTAAGGTTGTGGTGGCCTGAGTTTGTGAATTCAGTCAGTGTGTGTGTGTTAAAGAAATTCCAGGATCTACGGAAGAAGAATGACGAGATGAAGACAATAAAAGACCCCAGACGAAGAAAAAAAAGAAGACGACATAAGAAAGGTGTCAGTGATAATATAATGCAAATGTAATGCTTGATACTATGAGTCGAATCAGTCTTTATGACAAAAGGGGAGAAAAATAATAGAATAATAACTCTCACCCATATTAGCACTTTAGGCCACCCTCCTAATGCTGTATGTAACAGAGCACCTCACTGGCTGACCTGTTGTACTTGAAGACTTCTGTAACGATGATTGTTTATCTGCACCCTACAAACCTGTAACTGTGTCTCTTGTGTCAATCAACAGGAACAGAGAGGGAGGAACCCACAGAGACAAGGTACCACATTATTATGTCCAACCAGTGAAATTCATTTATACAACAAAAGATTCAGGTAATTCCTCACACGCAACTGTGGACTGCCAGAATGAAAAGCTTGTGAATCTCACATGTCAAACGGCACAACCAGGAAATGGCAACTTAATGAACAAAGATAAAAAAGCAGACATGATAGCTGAAACACAAACAAGTACGTTTTCTGCAAGCTGATGTTCATAGCTAATTGACAGCTAAAAAGCTATTGTATGCTTTAGAAAATGGCAGTGTGTGGGATTTGTTGTAAACATGCAAGAAACAGAGATCATTTATAGTTAAATAATTAGCTTAATCATCTATTTGTCAGTAAGTTTGGATCATCAACCATTTGTAGCATCACAGCTGTATTGTGTTGAGGGAAGTGTAATGAGGCAGAATGTGCCAGAATGATACCTTTCACCAGCACTGATGGTGTTACCATGCTGCGTGATAGACATATGGATTCTGATACCGGCATATATAGCGATAGAAATAAGAGTCCAGTTGGGCTGCATGTAACGAACATTAACTCACATTCTCTCTCTGTCGGCAGAGAGCGTCAGGAGGAGCGGGAGAAGCACTGGGATGATCTCAAGCAGCACTTTGGTGTAAACGATCGATTTCATCCCCCCGCATGTTCCAAACCTCCTCCGCAGGTAACAAAGACGGCTGCCTCCCAACTTATCTGCCGAGGTTTAATACTGTGTCAGTCGTAGCTGTTAGCAACACCTTCCCGTCCTTTGTGTTCCCGTTCCACTGTATCTCCCCTCATTGTTTTACACGATATGACACATGGATTAGAAGAATCCTTGCGCTCTCTCAACCTGACACTGAGATGAATATTACGGATTATGTTTGGCTACATTTAGTGATAAGATTAGGGAGAATCTCCTTTCACGTGTGCCTGAGATTAAAGTGAAGTGTAGGTTTTTTTCTTCTGCGCGAGACCTAATGAAAATCTACATTTAGCTTGACAAAGAAGGGGGAGGGTTAGAGCACCTGCGACTGCGGCTAGAACACTTAAATTAATTGTTAGATAATAAACGGGCCTGTGCCACTGCTGTGGAATTCATAATTGAAAGAAATTATAACTTACTTTCTTTCATTCGGATACATTTCTGCACTTTTAAGCTGAATGAACGCTTTATGCGAAGGCTTGCAAATTGCCAATGAAGCAAAAAAATATATATATTTGCAAGCTTGATGAACATTATAGCTGACCCAGTGAATGGGTACTGTTCTCATTTCAATTTGAAATCCTTTTAATGATTATTTTGGAGTATTTTGTGCTTAATTTATCTAAGAGCAGCATAAAATTGAGTTTTTGCTGATTTTAGCCTCCTTTTGAATATGAAAGGATAAAAAGAAATGATTAACAAGCTGAATGAAACAGAACTTGTCACATCAACATAATGAGGGGGCTCCTTCATCCCTCAAATGCAGTTCCTTGTAATTAATATATCATATTATTTCTTTCTTTCACAGTCATTTGAGGAAAAAGCTGTCACAGCAGCCAGATGTCATTAATTCATCTCGCAGTATTTCTTCAGTGACCTTAAAACATGTTTCAGGGAATAAAGGATGGTGGTCTCACAGCTAGAGTTGTGTGTCGCGCGATACAATAGACGATAAGTCAGTGTCGGCTTCAGTTTATGTGCAGAATAATAAACTATATAAAGTAAAATCAAGCAACTAGAGTCACGGAGAAAAATGTTCTACTAATTCTGCGTTTTTAAGCCTGATAGCATCGTCCTCGTACTTTTAACAGTTGAGCTAAGGTCCTCAAACAATACATCAGAGGGGACACATTCATAATTACAGCCTCTTTCCGGTGTATTTTTCTTTTTTTTCATTTAGCATGATGAAATTTGGGAGGCAGAAGAAATCTGGTGCTCGGCTTCCTGCAGATAGGCTCATCACAGCAGAACTGCCTCGCCATCAGTAACCGGGGGCCTCTCTGCACCCCCCTTCTGCTTAGGCCTGTAATGGAAATGTGTAATTAAAGAGTCACATTTATGTTTGGTAATCTCCTGTAGAATTTCTAAGATTTCCCCACTAATATCCAATCAGAAAGGTTTTCATTTGTGAAGGGAAATCTACATATTTGTAGTAATGGCAATCATATTAAAAATAAGGCCCTGGGGACTTTTGAAGTTACTCTTTGATTTTTTTTTTTTTTCTTCTCTCTACCCCTATTTCAAAAAGAGAAAAAAAAACTGAATTCTCCCCCCCCTTCTACTTGCAGTCCGGCCTAGAAACGAGCATAGAGGCGGCCATAGCTGAAGGGGACATTGCAAAGGCGGAGGAGATGAGCGACAGACTCGCCACTCGAGAGGTACGTTGTGCTGATAAGAGATCTTTGGGGGTGCTCCCGCTGTGACAAATCGGGCTAATGGATCCGTGGCCATTTCTGCTGCAAAGACATAGAGGAACAAAAAACACACACGCAGACACCCACCATTCAGTCCTGCAGCCCTTTTCCATTGAGTTAATGGAAAGCCCTCCCCTTAGTTTTGAAGTGCTGCAGTGTCTAAAGGACTTTTGGCTCTGCTTTTTAATGAAGGGTACATTGCTTTCAAGCCAACTGTTAAAGCATTCTCCAGGTAAGAGTTTCATACCTTTGAAGTGTACATGTCCCTAAATGCAGTGCCTGAAGTTTTGTAACTAACCGCCTTGGCAGGCATCAAGGATCAAGTGGTTTGAAACTAATTTAGCATAAAATGTAGCCCAACACACATGTAATTGTGGCTAAAAAGACACACAGCTGCGGTGTTACTTCTCCACCGGGGGAGTTGCTGTCAAAGTTGAACTTCTTTGTTTCATGATGCATGTTGCTCACAGCATCCCATAAGCCTTTTATTTTATTTTTGTAATAATAGCAACACAAACACGTGTAACACTCTGGGTTCAGGTTTCGTTGTTGGATTGCAATAGAGTTGCAAAGAAGGCGGGGCTAATGGTTCAGGAAATATCTCAACATAGAAACTCAGGAGGCTCCGATATAATGACAAAAATCAGTACCACTATCATGTCTGTACACTAAATATGAAGCGAGCGCCAGCAGCCGTGATGGGAGCTTAGCTTAGCATAAAAACTGGAAACAGCGGGGGAAAAAGCAAGTTCAGCTCTGTAGGAAGGTAACAAAATCTGCCTAACAGCTCCTCTAAAGCTTTTGTGCAAAACACAACAATTTGCCGTGTTACAGAAGGTTACGACCATATCTTAGTGGTGACCAGTAACTTCCTGTTTGTTGCCAGGCAACTGCTCCCAGCCACATAACATCATTTCTAAGCGCTGTGATTAGATGTTTCTCACCGATATTCACCTTAGGAGTCATATTCAACTTCTCTCCTCGTGTTTTTGTGTCCAAAGGCTTGTACCTTTTGACTTTTTATCAGAGAACCACGGTTTATGTCTTTTGCAGTGATGCAGGGACGCCCAAAAAACAGCATCTTTCACTTAAACTATCCCATAACAAATCAAAAACACAGTAGAAAACATTATCTGACCTTCAGACTAGATGTGTCCCCCAAAAAGATGATATTCAGTCAGTAAATCGTTTAAGCCTCACCCTCTTGAATGAATAAGTAGGCTCCAACAGGGATCTGTGTTTAGAAACTGAAAAAAGAAAAGCAGTTGTACTGTTCATTGAATTGGCATTACATGCGTGGCCCCGGTATCTCCGGTGTGTAATGGACATTAGCGTGCACCATCAGAGCCCTTATATTCCCATCTTAACTGCTGGCAGAGTGGTCAAATATGGGGAAGTTAGACGAAAGCTCTTGTGAGTGGCACCTGCGCTGTACTTTGAGAAAGCCTCTTAGAGCGCCGTGGATTGGTTTTTAGCCTGAGCCGAGGTTCTCGCCTCCCTGGCACCTGACTCGCGTCTTGCCAGAACCGTGATGGGAGCGTGACAGCGGTCTGGCAGCCTTGTTTAGCAGCGATAACTTCATTTCACGAGAGTCGAGTCAATTTACCGTTTTGAAAATCCCCAAAAAAGACGTAAAAGTTCTTTATCGTTCTCGCTTTTGAATACAAAGAAAGCCTTTGCTGGATATAAGGGGAGTGTGGAGAGAGAGAAAAAAGTTTGAAGGCTTCTGAATCAGTTTGAAACAGGATTATATAATATCTTAAACGCTGCAGCCTGTAGTGCAGATAGCATTAAGACCAATGTTTGTTTACCGCACTCCTGTTCACTTCTGACAGGCGCACTCTGACAAACATTTAGAGGATCAATAATCCCCGCTGTGGCCAGAATCAATTTCAAGGTTATAATTGAGTGGCTCATTTGGTACGGAAAGGCTTAGATGTTTAATTTGTTTACGGTCATAACACCGAGACATGATTGTGGCAGGCTTTTCACCGCAAGAATAGGAACAGGTTGTCTTCGCAAAAAATGCAAAAGCATTCCGACAGCTGTGAAGAACTAAAGAGGCCTGTTTGTCCCTCTAGGCATTGTTTTGTTCGCAAAACGCTGGTACATGCTGGATGACAATGTTTCAGTGTATTTTCATCCTCAATCTAACGCGTTCCCACTTATCTCCTCAAAGCAAAGGGAAATGGAAGGAAGATAGAGAGCTTGCTGTCAGAATCCCCCCTTTTATACGACACAAATTGTTTGTTTCTGCTGCTTTTGGCTCCCTCAAATCAATTAATGATTTCCATTTGCTCCACTTTCTTCTTTTTAATCTGAACATTAAAACAATTTGGTAAAAAAAAAACCCTGTTTTGAAGGCTCCTTACAAATTGTGAGATATGTGTTCTTTCATCTGTCAAACTTCTGAGACGCGCTGCTCGGATATTGCAGGTTGGGGATTTTTATTCTCATTACAGTTTTTAAAAATATTTCCAGAGGCTGTGAGTCTTTGTTTTAGATGAATTCACGGAGACACGCTCCGCTTCTAAGTGAAAGTATTAACGCCCCCGAAGACGGCGCGAAGAAATCACATCCCCTTTTAGGTAACGGAATATTATTTATGTCTACATTGCTTAGACAAAGCTCCCTAATGTATTCCTTTAAACTGTGCAGATAGGGTGTCTGTTCTCATAAAGATGTCTGCTGATCCTGCTCAACACGTTTGGATTTCCTTTCACAAGCCGTAGAAGACACAAAATAATGTCAAAAAACTTCTCGCCTCTAAAGTAGTCCTATAGTTCAGTAGAGTAAACGGTGCAAGTCCTCAAATTAACAAGACTGCGTCTCCATCCTTTGATTGCTGCACATTATTTTTGCACTGCTGCAAGTTGCATCTGGGCTAATTAATGCAGTAATGAGCATAACACGGAGTGACTGACGCATATGGTGCGAACGGCTCGGAGCCTGTCGGGAGGCTTGATAGCATCCAGCAGCTCATATTAGACAGATTGATTTTGCAGCTCTTCCTGCTAAATGAGTCGGTGCAAAGAGCCGATAACTCGTCAGTACTGCAAAGCACAGTGGGGCTTCAAGTGTAGTACTGTGACCTATAGGAGAATACGTACACAAAAGACACAAGTACATATCTTAAAACCAGTCCTAGTTTGTATAAGGTGTCATATCTACATACTGAATAAGATTCCTTATGTATGATTTAAACCAACAAACTACCAGGTTATCACACCTAGTGGCCACACGTGTAATGCATCAAATTAAATCATTTACTGTATTAAAAAGTCATTCGAAGGTCCATCAGAACCAGACGATATTCTGAAACTGGATCGTTATTGCCAGTAAAATTGTGTGCTAAACATATATGATCATATGATGATGTCATGCAGAGAGAAGTTGTATCGGTGTCTTCATTGAGCTGTCCCTAACTCAACATAACTTCTACCGTACAGTTCTTTCTTTGTCACACTAATTAACCTTCTCATCGTAGTATTTCATACAACATCATCCTGACAACAAATAGTTTCTCCCTCACCCTGTTTTCTTTTTAAAACCACAGAACCACTGAGGTCTTTTGAAATAGTCAGGAGCTGTACTTTATATATAAGTAAGTGGGCATATTTCACCACAAAAGACTGTCACGGCATGTTAGAGTTTACAGTTTCCCCCATAGCACTCATCACAGCCATTAGAGCGGCATTACCACTTCAAAACAGAAACTCTCTCAGTCTCTAACAATGGGGGGTGTCGGGTCCATTTCATTACTTCCACGAGCTGAAGAATATGGAAAATAAAAAGTAGTTTGCATGGCTGCTGGCTTCTCCTGCAAAATGACACCACAAACAAAGAACCCTATACGTTCCAAACGGCAATTTTTTATTTTCAGTCTATACAGTGAAAAAGAGCTCAGACGTAATAAACAGAGTAGCTGTAAATAATTGTATTCATAGATCCTTGACTCACTGGCTACATTCCCATCCAATAAGCAATCTCTGGCTGTCGTCCAGTTCAGGTTCCCTGAGCTTCTACTGTGGTAGTGATGCGTTCACTATTGAGGTAAAAGAACGCACAATAAAGGCCAATAAAGGTAACATAGACAAAGCGCCACTTTGCAGCATGTGGCTCTGGATGCGTTTACATGCTCTGTGAAGTTGTCATTGAAACACTATATTAATGTCATGAGACTAATGTCAACTTTCTCAGGGAAACCTGTTTAAGATTATATTGCTTCAGCACAGCAACCTCTCACATGACTTTGTGGTCTTGACAATTTAAACGATCATCTCTGAGAAACCTGATGTTGCTCCGTCAGAGAGGAGAGGACGAACACTTTGCTGTTTTGTCTCTTATCCGGTTGTTTCTGACATTTCCCCCAGAAATAAGTAGTGAATAAATGGTGCGTTACAGTATAAAATCGCACCGCACTCGTGTTGAGTTGTGCATAGTATTACTGTTCTTTGAGCCCGTGTTGAGCTGGCTTGTCGGCTGATTGCCTGAGACCGTCTGGCTCAACAACCCCTAATCTAGCCTCATTTTGGACCAGGGGCTTCCTGTACTCTGGATGGCCTTTGGCTGGTGGACTTGTCTCTAACCCGGTTTAAACCGAGATTAACCCGTTCAGCCTAAACTGTTTGAAAAGGGCTCCCTCCTAATTGTTAGATCACTTAACAAACAATACTTAGCGTGACGAATATGTATTAACTAGAGGCATTTACGGTGTGTCTGCAGCGTTTGAACTGGTTATAATATCCCTTCATTACGGCCCCGGCTCGTATTTCAATAGGAGCGGCAGCTGAAAGGAAAAGCCCCACTGTCCTTGAAATCTACCCTTTGGAAAGCCTTCGCTTAAATGCTGTGAAACAAAGGTGTCGCGGCATTTTGTCGGAGGAGACACGGTGGCTTAGTGGAAACAAAGAGCTGAACTAAGAGCGTTTCATGATATTCACATTATTTAGCACCTTTCTTTT